TAGGGACTTATAGGCAAGAATAAGATTCGAAAATTTGGGACTGACTTGGTGCAATGGCCTCGCTCTGGCTGCAACATTAAGAGTAAAGGATGGGGTCGGGGGCATGAGCATGGAAGGAGCAGTTGCGAGGCCCCTGCAATAATCCATTTGAGAGATGAGAGAGCTTTGGGCCAGGACAGCAGCAGTGAGGTGAAGAGAAGTGGTTAGATTCTGGAGCCAACATTTACTGTGGGATTAGAAGTCCAGTGTGAGTGATGAGACAGGAGACTATGATTGCCTTGATTCTGCCACGTGGACAGGTACAAGTTTACATCTCCTCCTTGAATTTGCGTTTCCCTACCTACTAGCAAGGTTAGCTTCTTTTCACGTTTACTGACACTTGAATTACTTTTTTGAGAAGTTCCGGTTTTCCTTTTTTTTAAAGATTTTATTTATTTATTTGAGAGAGAGAATGAGCAGGGAGGAGGGGTAGAGGGAGAAAGACAGAGAGAGAGAGAGAGAGAGAGAGAAGCAGACTCCTCGATGAGCAGGGAACCTGACTTGGGACTCGATCCTAGGACCCTGGGATCATAACCTGAGCCGAAGGCAGACGCTTAATGACTGAGCCACCCAGGTGCCCCATGTTTTCCTCTTTTCCTCTGGTTAATGCATGATTGCCTTAACAAAAATCTCGTCTGTGGGGGTTTTGCTTGCTGTTTATCCAACCTCTGAGGTTAGTTTCTCACTTTAGAAATACAGCATTGCTGAGCCGGCAGGTAACCCCAGATTACTTGGTCAAATCTCTTTATAGATGAGGAAACTGGGGCTCAGTTGAGTGATTTATTCCAGGTCACACAGCTCAGCGTGGGAGCCGTTACTAAAATTTAGCTTTCCTGATCACCACTCTATTTCACTTTCCATCTACTATACCATCTTATTAAAAACTCTTTTTTTACCAATAAAACTAACAAGAGCCAACAAACTCATCTCTCCATAAGGATTTACCTTTGGATAGGACAGTTGATCAAAAGGAACGTCAATAAAAATGTACTACCCAGGCTAAGCCACTGGATTTGCATCGCTTTTTTTCACTGTAACCTTTGAAACAGGAGAGAATGGGCGGGGGGTCTTTCCTGCCTGGCCCACGCTGAGATCAATAATCACTTGGCTCCTTTCCGCCTCATTACTGTTCTAATTTGCCTTCACTGAAACCACCGAAGGTGTGAGTGTAGTTTTTTTCCTACTCTAATAAGCCAACCTTTTAGATTAAGGGAAAAGAGAAAAGAGATAAGACCAGCTTATCTTAGTGAGAAAGGAAATGGAAAAAGTAGAACATGGTAGGCCATACTTGCTAAGTTGGGCTTGTTCAGCAACACAGCCGTCTCACTGACGGCCTCGGGTCCTTCTAGGAAAAACCCGATGTAGGGTGCTAGAAACAGGCAAGTGGCTCTAGTGAAGTAGTAAGCAGAGAGTCAAGAGAGGATCCACCTTAGCCAGACTTTTTTTTTTTTTTTTTAAAGTAAGTTCTATGCCCAAGCGTGGGGCTTGAATTCACGACCCTGAGATCTGGAGTCCCATGGTCCACCGACTGGCCAGCCAGACGTATTTTAAAGCAAGAGGAAGATCAGAAAGATTGAAAGGACCCAGAGTGGACTGGAAGTGATGAGGGCACATACTTGCAAAGGTGAGTGGACACTTGAAGCTGCTGCTCTGAGCTCGGTGTGTGCCAGATCCGCTCCCTTCCAAAGCATCACAAAGGCCTTCTCCAAAAGAGCTGTTACGCTGGCTGCAGAAAATTTAGGAGCTATTAAAACACTATAACCCTCTAGCCTTCTCTGTGCATGTACATTTGGTGCATACAAAAACACTGGCAAAACGCAATGCATACCGGCTTTAAGCTGTTTTTCTCAGTTAACATATTAAGCATTTCCTCCATGTATTTAATCTGTCTCTGTGACATGATTGATAGTGGCCATACAGGATTTTACTACATAAAAATTTTCCTCAAACAAGCCTCTTTTGTTAGACCATGTTGATGTTCCTGGATTTGGAGAGTGACAGATTTCAGGTAGAGGTAGAATTACCAGGTCAGAGTATTTCTCAAAGAAAAACAAAAACAAAAAACAAAAACAACCAAAACCCCACAAACATTTATTCTTTTTAAAAGAGAAAGATTTCAAAAGATTTTCAATGTGGAAAAAAAAAATCACACATACAGAAAAAGAACAAAATAAACATCAACTATAATCCCACCATCATTCACATTTTTGGTATATGTCTATCCTTTCAGTTTTTAAAAAAAACATGTAAACATTCTATACAAAATTACACACGGTTTCATAACGGACTTTTCTCATTAGATACAGTATGAGTATTTTCTCATATCTCTACGTGGTCTTCCAAAACATTAAACAGCTAGAGTTCCCTTGCATGGTGATGTCACACTCACTAGGACAGAACCACAAACGCAGGTACTTTCTGCAAAGAACAGTGCCTCTTGATAGAAAACAGTGCTCAATAACCACTTCCCGAATGAATACATGAACTTCGTCAACCCACTCCCTGTTGCTGGATATTGAGCTTATTTGGGACTTTCACTGTTAGAAAAAAAATCTTCCCCTTGGCCCCTTTCCCTGATTTTAGGTTCCTGTCTAGGGGTCTAGCTTCCTTTCTCCGGCATCCACCAACACTTTTCTTCTGTGCAAGGCCCGATCACTTAGGCTCTATGGTGTCCACGGCAACTACTCAACTCTGTCACCCGAGTGTGAGGGAGCAGCCACAGGTCATCTCTAAATAAGTGTGACTGTGTTCTGATTAAGACTTTACTTATGGACACAGAAATTTGGTTTCTTCTCATTTTCATGAAATACTATTCTCTTGACTTTTTCTCCCCAGCCACTTAGAAATGTAAAAACTATTTTTAGTCCATGGGCAGTACAAACACAGGAGGTCCATCAGCATTTGCTGCCTCTTGACATAGAAAATGTCTGGTGGACAACTAAAACAAACCTAGGCGGATCATCCTCATGTAAATGTGGAAAAATCACCAATTTTTCCTTTTTCCTCAATTGCATCATTTTCTGCTTACTGTGAAGGTAGAATTGCATTATAGATCTTCAACTATAGGTTCCTCACAAAAATAAATAAAAACGAGAGAGACGGGAGAATTTAATGGTGTAAACAATTTTCCTCACCGGCCAACTCAATCAGCACATCCCCTGAGGGAGTGTGTGCAGGCTGGGAGATCGGAATCTGCTCTTCTCTTGGCTGGCCTGATTCTATAGGCTGCTCACAGCACACATATCTCGCTTCATGGAGTGTCAGTTTACAGTCTGAATATGTACTTTTTTTGCACATTATTCTTTTTTTTTTTTTAAAGATTTTATTTATTTGAGAGAGAGAATGAGAGATAGCACGAGAGGGAAGAGGGTCAGAGAGAGAAGCAGACTCCCTGCTAAGCAGGGAGCCCGATGTGGGACTCGATCCCTGGACTCCAGGATCATGACCTGAGCCGAAGGCAGTCGCTTAACCAACTGAGCCACCCAGGCGCCCTGCACCACATTATTCCTAAACACAAGTTAGCACCTTTATCTGATTGACTAAAGAGCAAACTATTCTAATGCTGAAGGATGGGCTGACCTACTGGATTTTCTAAATGACAGGATGTGGGTTTCCAGTGGGTCACATATGATGTACACTATGGAAAACATAAGGGATTTTTTCAGTGGTAATTTTAATCATTTAAACTTAATTATTTAAAATAATTTAATTATCTAAAATTTTCCCATCACGCACTAAGTTTTGAGGTCATTTAGACGTAAGGGACAAATCTATTAATTTTTATTTCTTAAAAAACAAGTATCAAAATATGTACTCAATATGCAATGTTCCTAAGAAAAAAGGCAGGCAGAGACATGCAGACGTGGCGAGTCTTGTCGCAAGCAGCAGGTATCCAAGTGGCTTCCAGCCAGTCGTCCACACAGACAATAGACGATGTTTCTAAGAGTCCATGCAGTAATAAAATACTGACACCATGTTTCTAGAAAGGAGCACTAAACTCCCATTATCATTTGAAATGGAAGATGGTAGTAAATACTATCTTCATGTCATAGATGACGAAACTGAGGCTCTGAGAAATGTAAAGCAGCTCAGCTAAGCGTAGAGTGAGTCAAGCTGGTGGGGGTACAAAGATTAAAACTTGGTGCATCATGCATTTTCCAAGCTGCCCACAATCACAAAAGACAGCAGTGACTGGAATATCAAAGAATATTCTCTCCTGTGAGACAGTCACAGAGAAGACTTAGGGCAGAGCGGGATGGCACAGGGCAGAACAGCTGGAGGGCTCCCACAGCATGAACAACACAGCAAGTCAAAACAGGAAAAAACGAATCCCAGATTCGCTAACCCTCAAAGATAGATATAGATCTTTAATTTAAAAGAGAGAAAGTTTATTCATGGAGAAAACAGTTACAGAACACCCTTGGGGCTTTTTTAGTCCAACAATTAAAGTTGCATTAAAAAGCCAACAGGAAGAGTTTAGACCTAAAAGAAATCTGGAGAAACTACTGCTCCCCTTCCCTTGGCTTTTTTTTATCTTTATGTATATTTTATCTTTTAGGCAAGAGAGATAGCTGTGATTAATTTCTTTCCTAGGAGATGAGATTTCTAGTTCCATTGTCTTAATGTGTATAGGACTTTTCTATGAAAGCCAGAGAAGACAGAAGAAAAGATCACTGGATGGCTGGAACAATGAAGGTGAGACTAATGGCTGGTTCCTGGAACCACAGTTTTACCACAAATCACTAGATGGGGTAGCAGGAGGGGTATCAGGTTTCCCATTAATAAATCTGAGGTATTTAAGGCTCCAATAACATGGAAACTCACTCCCACCTCCCTCAGAGGTAACGGCAGAGGCTGGAAAGGCTATTCTGGAAGGTCAAAGCTCCTTGGACTTCCACATACATTAGTGCCAACATCTAACCAGACTGGACCATGTCCAACATGAGCAAAGTGGCTAACTGCTTTACTCTTCAGGATGGGTTCCAAGGCAGCACTGTGATCCATGATGAGCTTTTCCCTGTCTTTTGGCTTGTCCTGATGCTAGAGTCTATGGTAATACAAGAAAGCGTGGCCATTTACTGTGAGACCTGCCTGAGGAAAAGAACGGGCTCTCCAAGTCTCAGCTGTCAGGGTTTAACTTTACTCGTTTTACTTGGCAATTCTTGTCGTCCAGGTGGCAGAAACCTTCTGTGGTGATGTCTCTTTTCTTCTCCTCCATGGATTCCCAAGGGAAGTCCTGGTCTGTGGCCAGTACCTGTCGGACAGTCATGTTCACACGAGCGGTTTTCAAGTAGCTGGTGCACACCTGCCAGTCCTCCTCAGAGCAGGGCTCTACCACTGAATCTCTGGGGAGGACGGCTGGGAGAGGTGTCTCTAGGCAGCATGGCAAGCTTTCCCCTTGAGGACTTGGAAGGACCCTTGGGACTGCATGGTTCAACAGGCGGCTGAAACCTGACATTACCATGATGTCACCACTGTGCATAAACATGGCTGTGGGCGCTTCATCTCTTTTGAGGCCACCCAGGAGAAAGATGGCAGACTGTCCGAAGCTATACAAAAATAAGTAAAATGATACACAACAGTAAGTTTCTGTTACTAACCACGGCTGGGAAAGTTACTGCCAACCGCATTCATTTTGAGTTTCATCTCGACACTTACTGCTCTCACATCCTCCTTTTTAATCTGTGCTAAGACCCTTCTCCTCTGGCTTGTGTCTCTAAGTGACCAACCCATGATCTGCTGATTGAACTTAGCATAGCCCACAGGACTGCTACAATATAAAATTTGAAGCACTTAAATAAGCAGATTAAAAATTTAGTTTTAATATTACCGGTATAAGTTTTAGTGATGCATCTTTAAGATTTAAGCCTTCCAGTGAATTGAGTCCCTTACTGTATTTTTCATGCCATTCACTTTTTTTTTTAAGATTTTATTTATTTATTTGAGAGAGAGAGTGAGCAAAAAAGAGCACATGAGCAGGGGCAGAGGGACAGGGAGAAGCAGACTCCCCTGCTGAGTAGGGAGCCCGATGTGGGGCTTGATCCCAGGACCCTGGAATCATGACCTGAGCCGAAGGCAGATGCTTAACCGATTGAGCCATCCAGGCAGCCCGCCTGTTCAGATAAGGCAATTAACAGAAGACACTGTTCAGGCACTTTCTTTGTGAGCTACAGCTGCAGCACTTTGCCCAATTTAAACTTATGTTTAGGGAGGCAAGGTAGTAAACTAGTCAGGCTTCTGTGCTTTACTCTTCCCTATTCCAAAAAGGTTGCTCATTTTGCCGTATGGCCTTACACTTGCCTATTCCAAAGACACTAATGATACCTTTCAATACAAAAGGTGGACTCCATGCATCTTAAACGGAAATATTAACTGTAATTTGGTTACTACTCTTAAGAACGAGGCTAATTTTACTTATAACATTGTTAAGACACCCAGAAGTAAAAGATTATAGAGTCCAACCATTTCTTAAAGTCCTATGTTTTTATTTATTTTACCTAGAAATGCTTTAGCATAAGGAATGAAGGGATAGAAAGTAATCCCAAATCCCTAGAACCAGCTTACCTGAAAGACAGCAGGGGTTTGGAGTGATCTAGTTCAGATCTGTCTACGTGGATTCCCAGGGTGGAGTCCAATCTGTAGTAATTCAGGATACCTGCCTCGGCTTGGAAACCCTGAAACCCACAGGCTGTGGCTACTTGCTCTGAGAGGAAAGCCAGGTCAGAAGGGAAAGGTGTGTAATGATCGGCTGAGTATTTCTTTGATAAAAGTAGGGAAAATAAGAAAAATAAAAAATGATCTCAGGAAAATAGGAAACTGTGACATAAGATTAATTACGACTTTAAAATTATCTAACTTACACGTAATCCTAACATAGCATGATTTATCCGTTTTTGAGGTATCCAGTAATCCAATAATGAAACGTTCAAAACTGCAAGCACCTAGGACATGGCAGGCACCATGCTATGCAGTGCTAAATCAGACAAGTTCACCCTGCATGGAGTCTACCCGTGAAGCAATTACTACGTCTCCCTCTGGTGCACTTCAATCCCAAATAGGATCATTCTCATAGGACAAAAAAGCAACTCAAAACTGTCACTGCCAAGAGGCACATGATGACTAAATGTAATGTGGTATCTTGGAACAGAAAAAGGACTTCAGTTAAAAACTAAAAATAACTGAATGAAAGCTAAGAAAATATGAATAAAATATGGACTTCGCCATTGTAATAATGCATTAACATTGGTCCACTAATTGAGACAAAGGTACCATAATAATGTAAGATGTTGATAGGGAGAACTGGGTGTGGGAACTCTGTACTATCTTTTCAACTTTTCTGTAAATCCAGAACTATCCTATATTAAAAAAAAGAAAGCAAGAAAGCAACTCAAATACAACAGCCAGTTTGGTTTTGGGCCCCTCAGCCCGCAACATGGCACACTGCCAATTTCACTGGTCAGTCTGACGGGATGACATGCTCAGAACATCTGAACTGAAACTAACTTATACCATGGTCAAGGCAGGACCTTAAAATGGAAGTAATTTTCAGCATTTACCTTCCTGGACTATTTTTAGCATGTAAAGATCACGATATCCCTCTCTCTTCTCTTAAATAAAACAAAATCCATCAAAGGGCAGAACACTCACTCTCTCTACAAAAGCCTGCAGTTTAGGAGAACGACAAGGTGGCAGTCTCCTAGGCAGACCAGGGTGAGGGCTGCTGGCCATGTAAGCCTGCAGCAGCCTGATGCCCCTCCTCTGTCTTGCTGCTGCTCTCGCGTCTCCCTTTGCCCAACAACCTCAAACCACACCAGCAAATCCACTTCCGCCTCACATCTCCGCTAGTGCCCTGACATATCCCAGCTGCAGCAACAGGGCATAGCTCTGGCCAGAAGTGAGCTTTAACTTCAGGTTAAGGCAGACTTTTGTGACAGGCCATTAAAGGATGGCCAAGCCTCTTCAGTTGGAATTTCTGTGTTTTATTTTTTCCTTCTTTTCCTTAAGTGCAAATAAGAAGAGTTCCCATTTAATTTCCCAAAACCAAGGATACAGCTAGAGAACTATAAGGTTTTCTCTACCCTTTCAAGTTTCAGTCCTTCACAAGATCAACTAGTCAGAGGTACTGTTCTAGCACTAGGTTACCTCTGTGAGCTTTGAACCTTATCCCCAACTATCTATATGCACTAGTCTTCTTACTTCTCTTTCACTTTTCTCTGTTGAGTCACTCTGAGTTTCCGGTAATTTTTCACTCCACATTTTTCTTAGTAAATGAGAGTAACTTTAAGTCCTTGGGGAATACCAGTATCAGCAATAAATATAACATCATAAAAAATAAGCTAACATGTAATCACGTTAATGTATTTAACTTCTCAAAACAAGCCAGCACCGCTGTAATCACGATGCGGGTATTATGCCTTTGACGCTCACGCCCCCCTTCCATAGGATAGGTATGCACTATCCTATGGAAGGCCAGATTCAACTCCGGGCTGGCTAACCCAGAGAAAATCACCTGGCTATTTCCCCAAACACAGATATCCAGTCTTCCATTAAATCTGCATTACTGAAAGTAATATGTCATGAACATTTTTGAACAACATTTATCATTATTTTGAGCAGTTAATTTAATTATTAATGAGCCGGGTTGTCTGAAACTATGGAGCTTTTAGTAAGTAACTAGTTAGTAGGAAGATGGTCTATACCAATCTATTTATTCAGTTTATTCTCAAAATTAGTCCTTCCACTTGGTGTCAAACATCTCATGGAGACAAGAGGCACTAAGCTGCCCATTAAAGAGGAGGTCCTTTTGGAAGAATGGAGGTCAGGAAAGAAGAAACTGTACCTCAAGAAAACACTGAACTTCATTAACTGTAGGACATTCTTTCCTACCTGTGTCTTGCTCAGAACTTATATAGCAGGCAAAGGTGTCTTTTGTGAGCTGATGGAGAACACCAGAAGTATATGGAGCTCTTTTTACTCCAAACAGATATTATGTAGAAAATACAAGCTTGGGGTGCCTGGGTGGCTCAGTCAGTTAAGCGTCTGCCTTTGGCTCAGGTCATGATCCCAGCATCCTGGGATTGAGCCCCGCAGTGGGCTCCGTGCTCAGCAGGGAGCCTGCTTCTCCCTCTCTCTCTGCCTGCTTGTCTACTTGTGATCTCTCTCTCTCTGTCAAATAAATAAATAAATAAAATCTTAAAAAAAAAAAAAAGAAAATACAAGCTCAACAAACACTAAACAATAATGGAAATAAAGGTTTTGAGAATTGCTCTTGAATGCAGTAAAGAAAAATCTGTACCCCTGAAACATACTTAGAGAAAGCACCAATGACTTCTGATGAAATAATATAACCTAAGGGCGTATGAAGAAATTTTCTCTTGGGAGAAATTATTCATTCCTCTTGAGACACTGTTATCGAGAGGATTTTAAGAGATAAAAGAAAGAGATCCTTCCACAAATGGATAATCTGACACTTTACAAACTTGGCCAGGAAGACATCCAACTACTGAGCCCAAGGAGTGAAAAAGCAAAGACAATGGAATTTGCAAGGAAATTTGCATACCTTACTGTCCCAGTTATAATGGTAGCCTAGGGTCACCCAGCGCAACTTCTCTAGTAAACTTCGGGGTCTCCGTTTATTTGCTTCTTTGTACCTGTGAAGATTGGGGACAAAAGAGGATTTATTCACCTCAAACGGCAGCAACAGCCCTTTGCATGCATGGAATTTGGTATTCCTTGGTATAAGTTGTTAGCAAAGATCTTGATAGGGGAAGTGAGAACAAATGAGTTGACCAAAATACAGTAACACTAAAAAACATGTTAGCATTTCTTTTTTAAGATTTATTCATTTGAGGGGCGCCTGGGTGGCTCAGTTGGTTAAGCGACCGCCTTCAGCTCAGGTCATGATCCTGGAGTCCCGGGATCGAGTCCCACATCGGGCTCCCTGCTCGGCGGGGAGTCTGCTTCTCCCTCTGACCCTCTTCCCTCTCGTGCTCTCTATCTCTCATTCTCTCTCTCTCAAATAAATAAATAAAATCTTGAAAAAAAAAGATTTATTCATTTGACAGAGTGTGTGCGTGCGTGCTGGGCGGGGGGGGGGGGGGGGGTGGTCGGGGGAGGGGCAGAGGGAAAGAATCCCAAGCAGACTCCCTGCTAAGTGGGGAGCTGGACCCAGGGCTCGATCTCAGAACCCTGAGATCATGACCTAAGACGAAATCAAGTTGGACACTCAACCGACTGAGCCACCCAGATGCTCCCATGTTAGCATTTCTGATTTTTAGTCCTTGGTTCTAAATCCTCTGCTGAACGGTATCAATTTTATATTATTATTATTTTTTAAAGATTTTATTTATTTATTTGTCAGAGGGAGAGACAGAGCACAAGCAAGGGGGGGCGCCGAGGGAGAAGGAGAAGCAGACTCCCCACTGAGCAGGGAGCCCGATGTGGGGCTGGATCCCGGGATTCCACGATCATGACATGACCTAAGCCAAAGGCAGACGCTTAACCAACTAAGCCACCCAGGCACCCCCATGTTAGCACTTCTAACTTTTAGTCCTTGGTTCTAAACCCTCTGCTGAATGGGATCAATTTTAAATGGCAAGTCTCCAGCATCTCAATAATGATAAAACAGGAACAACACAGAAATGTCTTTACCTGTAGATTGGAAATGGGACCAAGGGCACTATGGGTAATTGAAAATTTGGCTAATAGAACATGTTCCATTTGGTTTGCTGAAAGTGAGGTATGATTAATCATAACTATCACTATGTTTATAATGATGGTGGCTTCCCAGAATTATAGGTTGGGGGAAAAAGTTTGGCAAAATATACATTGTTTACAATCAAAAATAACTGGTTTAACATGACTTCTTCAACCCTGTCTAACATAGCTTAGATAATTGAGGCTTAGCTAACAATTAAGGACCACTGTAACTGATTGGTTTCTGACATCCCCTTGTTCAAACACAGGCTTCTGTAAAACAGAGAGGTGCCCTTTCTGCAATTACATCCTGTCTGATCAAATCTATGGGATTAACTACTCTTTTTCTAAGGAGGAAGAAGCTTCTTTGATTTACCTCTAAATGTCTAAAAATACGAGAATGCTAGGCCTAGTAATTTTAGGGTTTGTTTTTCCTATGTAATTTACATCAGCAAATGAACAAATATTTTTGTCCAAGAACCACTGCTGTTTAAAAAAGAAAAGATTAGACTGCTTTAAGGACTTCATATTTTGACAGGAAATGACAGATAAGTATAAGAAAAAATGAAGGGAAAATTAAAGGCAGTATAAAATCTATACTAAACTGAATACCACAAGACTTTGAGGATCACTGGAATTAAGAAAAAGGAGAGCTCAAAGTTAGCTGTCTAATCAGTTAAGGCCTCATGGCAGAGTTGCGAGTTGAACGTGGCACTGAAGAATGGCCAGCATTTAAACAGACAGTGGAGCAGTGGTCAATACCGGCATACCACATGAGCAGAAGCAAAGGTTTTATTAGAGGCTCACACTGTAAGTGGCACTCATCTTGACTGACAGAGCTTACAGAATAGATGCTATCTGTCCTCACAAAGTTTACATTCTAAGGACATCGTGACACAGATATCCATCAAGACCACTAGCTAAAAGGAATGGAACACCGATTTACTTAGGACAGCAGTGCAGAAAAGAGGCAGAGCAGATCTGACTGCTATCCTCTGAAAGGCCTGCTTGCAAGGTTGGCTGTTGGCAGGCATCTGGAACTTGGAATCTGGGGAGGTTCACACCATTCCCGGAACTGCTGTTCACTGTGCCTAAACTTTTTATGCAAAACAGTATGGTTTATGTTAAACAGCTGCCTTCCTTCTGGGAGTCTGGAATTTGGTTTGTGTCACACAGAGACTATGGGACCAGCCCCTAGTAAGAACCTGGGCACTAAGCTTCCCTGGTAGACAACATTTCACACATGTTGTCACAACTCGTTATTGGGGGAATTAAGTACACCTTCTGTGGCTTCACTGGGAAAAAACCCTGGGAGCTTGAGCCTGGTTTTCCCAAGACTTTACTCAATGGGTCTTTCCCCTTCACTGATTTTGCTTTGTATTCTTTGAAATGGAATAAATCTTATCCATGAAGACAGCTATGTGCTGAGCCCTCCTGGTGAATCACCAAAATTGGGTATGGTCTTGGGGACACCTGGCACATGAGAAGACAGATAATGATTAGCAGTTCAGGGGAAACAATATATATACGTGGCCAGTGACTGCAACTAGCTGATGTGAACAGTTACCACGTAGAACTACCATTAATTATTTACATTTTCTATGTGTAAAAACTAAAAACTGGAAAGAAAAAAAAAGGAATGCATAGTTACTAACACAACCTGAGTTCTACCAATGTTTCTTCAGCTAAAGACATAAATAAAAAAGAACTCCCTGATGATCCCCTCTGGAGAACATAAGCTATTTTAGTAGCCTTGGGATAGAAAATAAGAATGACCTCTCATTTCTGGATTCATGTGAATATTGTGGTTAATAGTGCATACCTCACTTAGTTTCTGCCAAGTGGTTTCCAAATTTTAATGGTCAGGAGAATCACCTAGAGGGCTTGTTAAAACTCAATGGCTGGGCACAGGCATATAAATTCTGATTCAGCAGGTCTAGGACAGAGCCTAAGAACCTGCATTTCTAATAAGCTCCCAAGAGATGGGGATGCTGAACGAGGGACCACACTTTGAAAAACACCATTCTAGCCAAAATTAAAAAACAAAACAAAACACCTTCCATCTTTCTAGATCAATAAAGGATTATTTTATTCTTGATGGAGAACTCATACTATTAAATCAAAATTAGATCAATCTAAACAAATAAAGGTAACAACAATGAGGATCTAAAAATAATTCAGGGGGCACCTGGGTGGCTCAGTCAGTTAAGGAGTTGCTCTTGATTTCGGTTCAGGTCATGATCTCAGGGTTGTGAGATCAAGCCCCACGTCAGACTCCACACTGAGGATGGAGCCTGCTTGAGATTCTCTCTCTCCCTCTCCCTCTGCCCCTCCCCTCCACCACCCTCTCTAAAAAAAATAAATGAAAAAAAAATAATTCAGAAGGCAATGGTATTTTAGACATTCGATATAGTATCACCAAGCTGCTTTTCCATCAAGAGTCAGTCTAATGTTCCTTAAGAATGGGGCATACACTATTAGAATTAACAGGTTTGTGGTATTGTTAACAATAAAATCATCAAAATCATAGTAATAAGCATGAATAGAATCATCCTATATTACACCTTTTAAAATTCGTTCTTTTAGAAAACCAAAAGAACATCTCTTTTCTACCTTAATTGTATCACTATAAGGAAGGCTTTGGGCTTTGCCTTGTATTATTGAGGGGGCCCGTGTAAGGGTATAAAACCATTAAGCCCAGGCCACCTTACAAAAAGGAAAAAAAAAGCTTAAAGACTTGTGTAGTGAAAGAATAGCTGTGATCATTGAGTGCGCCATTTTGAGGATGATTCTATACACACACACATTTTGTGTAATGTGTTAGAGCCATGTAGGTATAAGACTCCACCCCTCTGCGAACACAATTTCAATTCTTTTCTTTGTATGGAATTTCTGGTAGGAAAGTAACAATAATTATTAAGACTGGCCTTCAAGATGTGAGAGCAGGACTGGCCAACACTAGCTACTTCCTGTCTCAGCACTACTTAGGGACCATTCTGGTCCCTGTGGGCTTTGAGTAACAAAGATTCCAAAAAATTCAGTCTTGAACACTGAATAGTTTAAGGCCAAAACCAAGTTTAGCCCACTCCCAGATGATTTTCAAGCAGGAAATACTGACAGATTAATAAGGGGGATGGGCTGTTTTCTTTTTAAACCTGAATTGTCCAAAAGGAGGCCAGGAAGGCTCAGTGCCAATAGAGTTGCCATATCCGCGCTAAGAATGCAAGGGATATGTTGGCACCTAACTTTAAATCTTTATCCAATTATCCAAAAGAATGTTTTCAAGCAAGTATGACCCTGATTATTGGTTCTCACTGCAAAGAGAAAACACGCTATGCTCCTTGCCCCTGCTGCAGCTCCAAGCACTGGCAGCAGGATGATGGACGGGTGAGCTGGCCACCTTCTCCCCTGGTGAATGTGCCCACACAGCAATTTGCTCACTTTCTGTCATGGATAAGTGCTTCATGTAAGTGCTGGTATTTCTCTCAGCAATCATGTCCTCTAATGCTGCTTTCAAGTGCACCCTAACTCGGTGGAAATGAACTGTCCTGCTTGTCCATTCTTTGTGCAGTGGTAGTTTGAGTGTCATAACTAAGCACTGGAATTTCCTTTTCTTCCTTGCTTCAAGGGACTTTAGTGAATCATTATGAAAGCAAAAGTACTCAGGGCAGAAAACGTCTAAGGTTGTTTATGATAAAAAGCCTTAAAAATCCTATTACAGATACTTGTTTTTTCAATCATTTTTTAAAAGTTTTACTTAAGTAATCTCTACATCCAATGTGGGGCTCAAACTCATGATCCCAAGATCAAGAGTTGCCTACTGACTGAGCCAGCTGCACACCCCGCTTTACTATGGTCTTTATATGTAACTGACACATCTCCCTCTCTGTGACTTCACTCCTAAGCTCAGTTTCCTATTTCCAAAGGCATACTGGACCTCTTTGCCGGGATACTCCACACGCATTTCAAAAACATTAACCCCCAAGCTACACTATGGATTGTCTCTGCTCTTTCTCGTCCTCCAATCCTATTTCCATTAAAAATCTTAGTATATAATGTTACAATGAACATGGAGAGGCAGATATTTTTTTGAGACACTGATTTTTTTCCCCTTTGGATATATACCCAGAAGTGAAATTGCTGTATCCTCTGGTAATCCATTTTTTTTTTTAAATAACAGTGGATTTTTTTTTTTTTTTTTTTTAGATTTTATTTATTTGACAGAGAGAGAGTGCACAAGCAGGGGGAGTGGCAGGCAGAGGGAGAGAGACAGCAGACTCTCTGCTGAGCAAGGAGCCCGATGTGGGGTTTGATCCCAGGACCCTGAAATTATGATCTGAGGTGAAAGGAGACGCTTAACTGACTGAGCCACCCAGGTGCCCCTGGTAATCCTATTTTTAACTTTTGGAGGAACCTCCACTGTTTTACATAAATAATTCCAACAGCCAAGACAAAGAAACAACCTGAGTGTCCATTGATGGATGAATGGATAAAGAAAACATGATACACAACATATAAATGAATACTATTCAGCCATAAAAAAGGAAATCCTGTCATTTGTGATAACATGAACCTTAAGTGCATTATGCTAAGTGAAATGTTAGGGAAAGACAAACACTGTATGATCTTACTTGTATGTGGTATCTAAAAAATCTAAACTTGCAGAAACAGAAAAGACTGAAAGCTGCCAAAGGTGAGGGTAGGTGGGTGTAGATAAATAAGTTCTGAGGATCTAATGTAAAACGTGGTGACTATAGTTAACAAAACTGTATTGTGTATTTGCTAAAAGAGTAAATCTTATTCTCATCACACAAAAAAAAATTTATAACTAGGTGAGGTGACTTAACTCACCAAGATAATCATTTTGCAATATATAGATACCAAATTGTTATACACCTCGAACTAATATAATATTAGTATCTAGGAATAGGAGTATCTTTGTTACTCACAGTGGGCCCTATGACCACAGCTAAGTTTATGCTAAGGAGATGACTCAGGATGTGAGCTTGTCAGGCTAGAAAAACCAATCATGTGATTAGAGGGATTGAGGCTTTCAGTCAAGTGATACTAGCTAAACCTCAGGGGCTGGGTCGGGGGCTAGAAACTAAATAAAATCATGTGACTAATAATTTAATCAATCATGCTTAAGTAGCGAAGCCCTCCAAAAAAACTGAATACTAGGTTTGGGAGAGCTTCCTGGGAAGGTGACACATCCTGATTCCATGGAAGCTCTGCATTCAGGACCCTCCCAGACATCACCCTACATGTTTCCTCATTGGGAGGGTCCTGATAATAAAACTGTAATTGTAAGTATGATTACATACTTGAATTTCTTAAATTCTATGAGTTGTTCTATTTGAGTTATGAACCTGAGGGGGTCATGGGAACTCCCCGAATTTGTAACCAGTTGGTCAGAAGTGTGGGTAGCTTGGGATCTCCCAAACTTGTGGCTGGTGTCCTAAGTGAGGGTGGCTTGGCTGGAGACCATGGAGACCATGCCCTCAACTTGTGATGTCCTTGTCGACTCTGAATGCTGAATGACTGCAACAAAACTGAACTGCAGTACTGCAGAGGAGAAACCGTAAGAGAAGTGCCAGGATTTCTATACTCAATCAGAAAACAGACTGAAGAGGGGTGCCTGGATGGCTTGGTCAGTTAAACGTCTGACTTTGGCTCATGGGGGCCCTGAGATAGAGCCCTTACTTGTCGCTCTGTCTGCTGCCCCCCACCCCCCAGCTGATGCACGTGCACGCACTCTCTCAAATAAATAAAATCTTAAAAAGAAGAAAACAGACTGAAGAGGCATGAGAACAGACACAAGGAGACACGCTAGGAGGCTAATGCAGTAAATGATGGTGGCTCAGACTAAGGCGGCCGTGACGGAGATGCTGAAAATTGATTTTATTTATTATGATGGTAGCCCTCCTATATTTGCTAAAGAGTTGGATTTAAGATTTTTGAATGGCTGTATCGTGGCTGCATTCTACTACTGGGGTATGTCATACTTGATTTATCTGATCTCTTGCTGACAGACACTTAGCTTGTTTCTCATTATTTCCCATTACGAACAATGCGGCAATGAAGATGCTTATACCTAACTACCGTAATCTTGTGCAAGAATCTCTAGCTACACTATTCACTCACAATAAACTCTGAACAAAACAGAACTGAGGTGCCCTACTTTTGTGAACAGACTTATTTTTCCCTCTAAGTTCAAGTATTTCTTCTTCATTTCCTACTTCAAAGTTTCTTCTTCCTTGACCGTAAAAACCCAGAAAGTTAAAGTGCAAAGCATCTTTAGAGGGCCTCTGGCTCAGCAGTTCTTAAAGTGGGTATTATGGTCAATAATCAGAATCTCTAGGGAATCTTCTTCAATGACAGACCCTCTCCCTTTCTGACCTGCTCTGGGAAAGTGGGGAGAGCTGACATGCTGTCCAAGTGACTCCAACCATAATCTGCCCATCTGAAATGGCTTATCCAGTCCAATCCCTTTGTTTCCCAGATGAGGAAACCAAAACACATATCACAGTGACAGGAGAACTAGTGTCCTAATCGATTTTCGATGCCACCACTTTCTTCCAACCCTTGACAACAGAAGGTAGGACCACGACATTTTTTATTTTTACTAATTCGCAAGACAAAAAAACCAAAACAAAAAACAAAAAAAGCCCCTCACCATTGTTCACAGGATGATTTATTAAAGAGGTTCATCTGAATTATCTTAGAAGATGATAACTGGGACTTCTGCAGTCATTTGTCAGAAGGAAAAAAATCAATTACTTGAAAATACAGGGTGGTTTAACCGCAAACTCTAAGCTCTCTAATTTCACTCAACCATGGCCTTCCTTTACTCTCAGTTCTAAAGAAGACATCACTAAGAGCTTATAGAGGGCGTTTCCCACTGCTCCTGTCTTTCTCATAACCTGCAGACCAAGAAGGCTTTAAAGGAAAACCAATGAATTTTAGTTTTCCTTTCCCTTTCAACTAAAGGAAATCTTCTATTTCCCCTGTTGGAATTAGTATGACACAGTTTTCTGAAAACAACCATTAGAGATCCTAAGTCCAAATAGAACACACAAAGCCAGCACGGTGGTTTTAATGGGCTGTTCTGAAGATTTCTCGCATATTACCTTGTTTAATCCTCACACTGTTAAATAAGGGAAGGACTACGAGGCATAGAAAGGTTAAGAAACTTGCTCAAATTTACACACCTAGTAAGTGGCAGACCAGGGATGTGAACCCAGGTGATCGGACTCTAGACCTAGTGCTTTACGTCACTAAAGCCTTTATAGTCGGGCCCTAACCTACTTCTTCTGCTTCATCTCTCGCCAATTCTATCCATCACTTCCAGGAAGCATCTTCTATAAACTACCTCCAACCTAGCCACTATTCCCATAATATCTTATAAACTCTATCTCTGTACCTGCCAAACTATTTAATTATATGTCTCTGCCCTCAACTAACCTACAAATTCCTTGAAAGCAGGAACTGTGTCTTATCTGTTGGTGAATCTCTAACACTCAAGCACAGTATCTGACACATGGTAGAAACTCAATAGGTATTTGTTGAATAAACACATGAACTCCCACATTCTACACTATTTCACAGAACTTACTGTGCCTTAAATATTACCTCTTTGCTCTGTCTGCTTTCTCTACCCCAAACAGCCTTCTTGCTCTTCTGACAAGCAAACTCCTAATCATTTTTGAAGACCCAGTTCAAATGGACAGAGGAGAAAGAGGATAATAGACCCAATTAAAAAATATTTTCTTCTTCATTGACACTTCTTTCTGCCTAGAGGAATTATTTCTCCCTCTGGCCCCCATAGCATTTTTCTAAACACTTACTCTAACACTTTCTAAGCTCTATTAGAATTATTCCTGTTGACACTGAGTTCCTGCCATAGACCATGCACTCCTGAGTACAAAGACAGTGTCCTATGAATCGTTGTATCTCCAGTGCTTAGCATCACGCCTGGTACACAATTAACCCTCAATAAATATTTGTGGAATGATGGGGCACCTGACTTTAAAAAAATTATATATTTGTGAATGAATAAAGGTTGATTCAACATTAACGTGCAAACATTAGTTCTCATGAGGAATAACTAAAAAACTGCTAGTAGCACTGAGTTCATCTAGGAGCGTAGAAATAAAGAGCTTTTAGTATTAAATTTTTCCAGGATATCACAAGTCTTCAAAGGAACTCACGTTGTTTATTTTTTTTAAAGACTTTTATTTTTTTAAGTGATCTCCAAACCCAATGTGGGGCTCGAACTCACAACCCCAAAATCAAGAGTTGCATGCTCTACCATCTGAGCCAGCCAGGTGCTCCTGGAACTCACTTTAAGTAGAAAAAGGGCTGAAGCTGAATGAAAATGAACCAGCTGCTGATGATTAATGAGGATGAACTTGAGATTCAAGCTATGATAAGGAAATCTTCAAAATGGATCTCAATCGAATGTAACTGTCAAAGCATCTGTCCAAATGTTCCCAGGGGAAAGAATATAATTGTGCTGTTTTTGCATGGAAACAAGGAACAAACAGGTCAGTTACTTTCACTGCATTGTTCTGGAGTAGGTCCCCTAAAGATGTGCAGTGAGCCGAGCTGAATATGAACACTTACCTCAGAAACTCTTTGCTCTGTTCCCAGAGGTCCTGAGTCTCTTCTTGGGTCATGTGCTTGTCTAGGTTACACACATTTGGTTTCTGGGAATATAACTTAAGGCACTGCTTCACCCAGTGCCACTGGTAACCTGGGAGGAAGGGGTTTGGGATAAAAATAAATCCTATACAAAAGGACAGGTGGGGAAAAAAGGAGAGGAGGAAATTCTCCATCAGTTATTGATATAATTTATTTTTGCTGACATCCTTATACCCACTACTTTATTCCCTATCTCCTTTTGCTCATGTTTTGTGGCTTCCACATTTATAAGTAAATGTTCTCATCCCTATTCTCTGATTTTAGAGAAAGGGAAGAAAGAAAAAAATTCTCAAGAGAAACAAATATTCCACAACCATCAACTGTTACCCCAAAGCGAACTTTAGAATTGGTAATGTCAAAAGTCACCGCTCAAATCTGCACCAGGTATTTATCATTTATAAAGGTGGTAGCTGCTTCCTGCAATTACTACCTGTGATAGCTCAGCGTCCCCCCTTGGCCTTCTTTGTTGTCCAGTATCTGGCTAACAATTCTTATATTAAGTTCCCTCAGCTAAAATAACTGGTGTGACTTCTGCCTATGACTGAAATCTGACTGACAGAACAGGGAAGAAAGAGGCTGTGAAGTACATCCACTCAGTATGGCATGACGCAGATACCTACAGCATGTGTGCTGAAAAGATCTTCTGGGACCTGGAAAGTAATTTAATGTCGTTCTTCTCCTGTGGCAAAGATGAGTAACAATATTTAGCTGGAATTCTATGCAGGGTAAGGATCCATTTAACAAACACACACTATGTACTTTCTTAAGAATTAGAGATGAAAAACTGTCCTTAGTGAAGCCCCTGGAGACGGGACAGCAGAGATCGCTACGCAGACAATGCCTTGCGGAAGCCTGGCTATGAAAAGAAACAAAGGTTGAAGAGCAATCATGGAAGAATAAAGAATTTAAGGGGAGAGTTTATGGTTTTTAGGGTTGGGAAAGGCCTAAGCATGCTTACAGATAATGCGAAAGAACCGGCAGAGAGAAACTGGTTGAAAACAGAAGAAAGGAAAGGAGCAGAGCAAGGTCTTGAAAGCTGGAAGGGGTGAAAGCATGTGGGATCGAAAAGGTGAAGGGCCTGGCTTTGAACAGAAGGTGTTCCTCTAAAATTGGAGGACAGGAGTAAGAACATTTGTTTCTGAGTGTGGAGGCCACTTTTGCATTTCATGCACCAACAAAATTCTCCAAGTAATTTAAGAGTGTGACAGGACTGTCAATATATTGAGAGGAAAAAAAAAAGATACGAAAAAACCCCCCAACTTACCCACTTATCAGCATTATTTCACAAAATAAAGATTATAACATTCCCTAAAATATCAGATTAAAGGAAGAATACCACTGACCCAGTGACAGGAAGATGAATCCTTTTTAGGCAGTCCACTCTAGATAACTGTTGCCTTTCTTTTATTGAATTTGCCTTTTAATTTTCATGCATTGATCTTAGGTTTGAACACACAGAGCAACCCCCAAATTAGTTTCTCATTCTTCAAAAATACCTTCTAGTTTTCTAGCTAACATTTATCAATCATTTACTATGTGCCAGGCATGGGCTTAAGTACTTTACAATGTACTCACATTTAATCTTCACAATAACCTTACAAAGTGAGCACCTTTTTATACACATTTTACTTATCAGGAAACTGAGGCCAAGAAAGATTAAGAAACTTGACCAAGGTCATATAGTGGATGGGAGAGCCACGACTTGAACCCAGGTAGCCTCATGTCAGAACCTAGGCCTTAACCACTAGTATATAATGCTCCCATCCCTTTGTGTGTATGACAACCTTTCAAATGTTGGATGCTGTCAGGTTCCCTCTCAGCTTTATTCTTCTTTCAGACCCATGACTTCCGGCTCATTCTTTGAAGGACAGGTCGTGATTACTCAAGTTCCTTCACAACAAGCAGAATCCAGAAGTAAACACAATCCTTCTGATTAAGTCTGAATAAGAGACGGTCATTTCCCATGTTCTGGACATTACACTTCTATTAAATACAGCTTCAAATGTCAGGGAAGACAGAATGAAGTCTCTAAGGACATAATGAGGTACCAACTCACAAAATGTGGCCTAAGTGTGAAATCCTAGAAAACCTCAAAATCAATACACCTATTTGGACAATAGATAAACCAAAGTGGGATTGATAACTCTGTGGTCTTAACAATTTGTTAAGAAAAGAGGGCATGGAAACAGAGAAATAAGGCCTTGAAAACAGGAGGTAGGCCTGAAAGGTCAAGGGCAGCCTTCAAGAACAAAAAGTACATAAAAGACTACTGGTGATGCACACTCCTCATTCACCCAAACTCACGGGAAGCCACGCTTTCATACATAAAAGCCATCATCTGACTACCCTTTCACAAAGAACTGAAGTGCATGAGGCCTTTTAGGGAAGTATTGAAACTGTTATATCATCCTATGTTATTAACAAATATATCAGTGGTCATAATGTATTAAGAGCTGTAACACAGACCTGGCCCATGGCATAATGAAAGTTAGTATTTTTTAAGGGATTTTTTTCTTGCTTTTAATTTGTATTTGAAATCACAAAACACAATGTTAACTTTATGTCCTCTCCAAGAAAAAGGATGACAGATAAAAGATTATTTGACCAAATAAGGCATTTCTGTATTTTCTTTTTTATTTAATATAATTTGAGAGAATGAGAGCATGAGAAGGGGGAGGGTCAGAGGGAGAAGCAGGGTCCCCACTGAGCAGGGAGCCTAATACGGGTCTCGATCCCAGGACCTGAGCCGAAGGCAGCCGCTTAACCGACCGAGCCACCCAGGCACCCCTCTATTTTCTAAATAGTTCATAATATTTAATCTACAATAGCCCCATAATCCTAAAAGAAAAAAAGATTAAGGGCGCTTGGCTGACTCAGTAGTATGCGATGCTCATCTTGGGGTGTGAGTTTGAGCCCCAAATTGGGGGTAGCGTTTACTCAAAAAAAGACTAAAAACGTTACCCATTTTTCATTATGTTCTTAATTTCTAGGTCTGTAAGGTGAGCTACCCAATATTATTGAAGTTCAAAATGCTAAATTATTTAGTCTATTAGGGCTTCTGATCTCATTAACTAATGTTCTTTTCAAAAGCTCAGCCTTAATAATAGCAACAATTTTTAAGTTGTTTTTCTTTTTTTTGCCACATGAGAACATAGAGACTTTGTGATTAGAGCGACCATTATGAATTGTTCCATCATTCAAAGCGGTTCTTCTGCCAGAGTAGGTGTTTGTGGAGTAGTGGCAGGGAGCCCAGAGTCAAGGTGCTAATTTTTGATTTGTACCTGGTGTGTCATTTTCTGCACTTAAGGTAGGCACAACTGACTCCTGTTCTAACCTTTGGGAATGCTAAATAAATGGAAATCTTAGATGAGGCAGATTTAAAAGGAGTTTGGGAGTGAAATATTTCTGTGTTTAGTTTTCCCCTTTGACTATTTACCTGCTTACAACTCCTCTCCTGAAATTAGACAAATGATTATATGATTTTGTCTTCTGAGGTCAGCCGCACTCACCAGGATAGCCTTGGAGTCCATAGGCTTGCCACTTGCTGACTGGCTGAAGTCCTGCTCTATGTGCATCGTGGTCACTGACGGAAGATACACTCAGCTGAGATCTAACCACCTGGCAGGAAGGGAAGAGAAGTTGGAGCGCTAAAGCTATTTTGCAGGTCAGATCTAAGAATCTCAAACTTCTAAAGATATTTCTGGTATGAGGCAAAATTAGAAGTCCTAAGTCTGGGCTCCTAAACTTAGTTCTGCCACTTACTTGATGTAAGACTTCGATAAGTCACTTAACTTCTTAGAGCCTCAGTTTTTTCATGTATATACTAATAAACACTAGAAAGCAATATAAAATTAGGCAGTATGAGAAGCAGACTGATTTTGGCCTTCAAGACTACCTTTCTGTATGACCCCACACCTTTGTGGATTTCTTGTAAAACTCTAAATCATGAGAGATGTCCTGAAATATCCTCAGTCAAAATTCTGTTCACCTCAATTCGGCCCCAACAATAATGCTTCTGAGGCACTTGTATACAGTTGGGTGTTTAAACAGACCTATGAGGAACATCAGGCAGGGGAGGTTAAGAGAATGGAAGCGAATGCTCCAACCAGACAGACCAACTGTTTCAGTAAAACTGGAAACCCTGTTTGCTGAAAGTATATTTATTCTCTTTTAGATGAAACTTCAAACTGAAGCTCAGAGCTTTTGCCTTTGTTAATTACTGAGAAATTAAGTCTTTCAGGGGCTCATGAAGTTTTCTTTGCATATAAGAGCACCTTATGGATGGCTCATTAAATAGGTTAAGGGATCCAATATTCAGTCACTAAAGGACATTCAGAAAACAAAAACCTTTATTCCTCCATTAATAATAACCTTAAGAGTCTGGCTTGCCTTAGTATACATCAAATGTTCTCTTCCAAAAAGGTATGGTCTCTTATCCTATCAACTTCACCAAGTGTAGAGATTTCCAGAAAAAAATACCAACTAGTTGCTGTGTATTACCAGTCTCTGTAATAAAATGGCTATCTGGAACTCTCTGAGAGGCCTGACCAGCCAATTCTTTCAGGTACTGATAAGATGTTTTTATTTCAAACATTTTACAATGATCTCTCAAATAGACCATACTTAATAATGCACTGTATTTCAGCAACACCCTCATATCTGAAGTAAGTCTGTGGACTTATTCTCCATGCTAAGCTGAAACAAACCTCTGAGTCTTTAAAAAAAAGTCCTGCTTCCACCCTTGCCCATTAGCCATGCTTTCTCCACTGCTCATCAGTTGCTCTCATAGCAACTTTCTTCTCCAGTTCGCTACCTTCAATCTGTTTTGAGCTTAAGAACTAAACACCCAAGCTTTTTTTTTTTAAAGGGAAAGACAGAGAAGGAGAGCACAGTGAGAGTGAGAGGAAGAAGCAGATTCCCTGCTCAGCAGGGCTCATGACCTGAGCCAAAGGCAGAGGCTTAACCGACCGATCCACCCAGGCGCCCCTAAACACCCAAGTTTTTATGTACTCAATGGATAGTGTATTTATTGAGTGCTTACTGTTTTAGATACAGTGCTAGACAATATTTTCTTCTCAGAGACTAAAAGTATTTTTTTCTTAAGGTTTTATTTATTTATTTGACAGAGAGCGAGACAGCGAGAGAGGGAACACAAGCAGGTGGTGTGGGGGAGGGAAAAGCAGGCTCCCCGCTGAGCAGGGAGCCCAATGGGGCTCCATCCCAGGACTCTGGGATCATGACCTGAGCCGAAGATGGCCACTTAACCAACTGAGCCACCCAGGCGCCCTGACTAAAAGTATTTTTAAGAGACAGAGAGCTCATGCAAGCACTGCAGGGTAGGCAGAGGGAGGAGGAGAGAATTTTATGCAGGCTCCATGCTCAGTGCGGATATCACTACCTTGAGATCATGACCTGAGCTGAAATCGAGTCAGATGCTTAACTGAATGAGCAACAAAGGCGCCCCTTCTAAAAGTATTTAAGTACTGCCGCACAATACAGGCAAAAGGAACTGAATGAGGATCTGACCCATGTACATTATTCTTAGCTGACTTTCTGCATGCTATTTTGACAACTCTAAGACCGTTTCTGCTAACAAACGAAGTTCCTAAGAAGCTGAGTTCCAGACAAATATCATGCTACTATGGCATTCCGATTTTGAGAGCTATACTAAGCTTAGAAATAATCCTTCATCCAGCCATCTGTGGACAACACCAAGGCCAAATTAAGGGACCAGGGATCCTCAGCGTTACAGCGACTGTAAAGAAATTACTCATTATAGTATAGTTGTGATTTTCCCTGTGCCCCCTGTCCTCCTTTATGTTGCTTTTCTTACTTTCCATGGGGAAAGGTAGAAATAATGGATAGTGTTTGGATTCGTTTGCCTTTTACTTTCAAAGGTGGAGAAATCATCTCAATCTCTCAACGCCCTCTTTCTAAAAGGGCCCAGAGACGACAGGGACCAGTTTTATGGACAACGGTTTAACCAACAACATCGATCCCTTTCTGTTCAGGGACTACTCGGGTAGTTGTTTTTTTCAAGTTGCAGAGCGCTATCCTAACATCTACGAATACGATGTATGGATTTTTACACAAATCGACGTAGAGATGCAAATGGACAGTTAATGTTAGGAATTCTTTGAGGCCGCGGCCGCGTGAAGGAACCAGCAGCACAGAGCTTCACCGTCAAAATGTGACGCTTCGTGGACAGTTAAACTCCGCGCCCATGTAGAGCGGGAATTACTCAGTAACACTCAAGTCTGGAAGCGAAAAGAGGTGAGGACCCTGAAGCCCCTCCAAGAGCGAGGCGAGGCGACCGGGGGCGCGGGCCGCTCTTCTGTCCGTACCTTGCGGGCACTAGGCCCCGTCCCGCGGGTTGCGTGGGCCGCCGAGAAGTCAATGACCGCTCCCAGGTCTGTGGTCCCAGGGCGGCTCTGACGGTAGAAGCGGAAAAGCTTCCGAAAGGCGTCCTCCCGCGGCTCTGCCGCCAGCGTCGCTACAGAGCCCACGGCCGCCGCCATCTTCCCCATGTCGTTGTCCGGCCTCTTCTGACCCGGAAGCAGATTGCGTGCCCCAGATTCGCCAGATTCTTCCGGGGTCGCGACCACAGGTCACAGAGGCCTTCGATCTAAAGATGGCGGCTTCAGCAGTGAGGGGGGCTGTGGCGCTGCGTACGAGTATTAGCCGGCCCGTGGCTTTTGTCAGAAAAATTCCCTGGACCGCGGCTTCGCGTGAGTGATGGAGACGTGTTTGGGGCGGAAGTTTTAGGTACAAGCGATCCTCAAAATCACTGCTTTCGGCGGAATACTTAAGTCAGCGTGGTGGCTGTATTAAGAGCTGTGGCTCCTGAGCAAGCCAGTGAGCAGAAATAAAAAATTTTTTTCAATGAATCGTTCAGGGATGCCCCTTGAGCTTTTGCGGCACGTATTCAGGGTCTCCTGCCTTTCCAGAGTGATTCGGTGGAACGTTCGTTCCTTGAAAACTTAAGATTTACGATTTAGAAGGGATTATTTTGACAGTGGTGTGAAGGGTGGATTCAAACTGGCAAGATTGAAGGCAAGGAGACGCACTAAAAGGCAATTTCAACAATTTAGTCCAAAGACGAGGACCTGAAATAGGGCAGTGGTAAAAAGGGGGTCAGATTCACTTATGTTAACAAAACAGAATCGACGGCTTTTCGCGATGGCTTGAATGGGGTCAGAGTACGGAAGGAGGGAAAGGGAAGAAGGACTTCGAGGTTTTTAGCGTTGGTGAATATCGTGGTTAGAATGTAGGGGAAGCAGGTTGAAAGAAGATGAGTAAAGTTTAAATGTGTTGAGCTTGAGAAAAACCTGTGAGGTCTCCGTCAGGCCGGTGAACAGAGGAGATTGTGTATCATTGATTGAGAGGTGCACTTTGAAGCCCTGCTGCCTAGGTTAGAATTCCGCCTTGGCCATTTAGTAGTTGTGTAACCTAACGGGAGGTAATTTGGGAAAAGGGCTCACCACTGTACCTCAGTTTCATCTGTGAAATGGAGTCAGTAATACCTTCTCGATAGGATTTTTGATTGGATTAAATGAGTTTATATGTAAACCACTTAGCCTTGTGCTAGATACAGACTAAGTACTCAATAAATGATAGTTGTTTTTGTGATTACTATAACTGAAGCTCATGGGAGAGGCCTAGGCTGGAGATAGAAGTTGGGAGTAATCAGTATTGAAATCTCTCACCAACATTGATTTTTGTCAGTTGCAGTTTTGAAAAAAGGTTTTTACATTTGCTTACCAAAAATTAAAAATCCACAGCCACTTTTGTAGGTATTCATGTATCAGGTCATCTCCCTTAAACAAAAGAATGGAACTGGGAATTACTTACCTCTTAGCTTTTGTCGCCCAGGTGTGAGTAGTAGAATGGGAAATAGATTGGTTTGGGCCCCACCTTCTTAATATGTAGCAGATGAATATCTAGGCAGTACAATGTCTTGCTTAGGCCCTGTGAAACTGTAAAGGCACAGGGCGTCATCTTGCAGTTGCAAGTTTCCAGACCATGATGGGTTGGTTTAAAACTCATAAAAAGAGTCTGTGTAGGGCGCCTGGGTGGCTCAGTTGATTGGGCAGCTGCCTTCGGCTCAGGTCATGATCCTGGAGTCCCTGGATCGAGTCCCGCATCTGGGCTCCCTGCT